TAAAAGTAGCAAATTCGGGGGTAGCTAAATTCACCGTTTAATAATGCTTGATTTTAAGGACTAACCAATTTCGCATTTTGTAAGGGACAACCCAAACATACGCAGTATAGATTGGAGACACAAAAAACGTACAACAATTTCCCTTCTAGACAGGGTAGAGAAGAAAATTGAGAAGAAAGGACTAACTATCAAATGTAAGAAGCCATTAAGCAAATTTAATTCACTCCCCCACTGAGTCAGATTGTGACACAAGGTCAATTTTTAACGTGGGGATCCGAGTGTTTTCAGTCCAAAACTGGTCTTAGCTGATCATAGCTTGTCCAAGTCGGTCAGAGCTGGTCTAAGCTAGTCATAGCTGGTCTTGGCTTGTCATAGCTTGTCCAAGCTGGTCAGAGCCGGTCCAAGCTAGTCGTAGCCGTGATACTACCAGCACAGGGACGGATCCCTGGGTCAGATAAGTATAAGACATTGAGTATGGTTTTCAGCAAGAGAAAGAAAAACAAGAAATACAAATTGAAGATATCAAAACAAAACAAATTTCAATATGAGTACTGGTAAAAAATGGTTGCTGGAGACATGAGGTTTATAATACCCAGAAATTCATACACAGATGTCCTCAAGGACACATGACTCAGTAGATAAAGGCGTTAGATCCAGTGACAGGACCTAAAGAGTTGTGAGTTCAATACCTGGTTAACGCGGAGAACTTGGAGAGGGGAATTAACAGGAAATAACTGATAATTGACATCCATTAGACATGGCACGTGGAACTAGAACAGTCTACCCCAGTGAGCGAAATAAAGGGTTCAGTTCGACATTCCAACCACCCGAAGAAGGCCGGAGTGTACAACGACCGAAACGTTGGAATAAATATAGGGACAAAGATGAGGACAATAGTCCGAATAATGTAAATAGTGTATATAATACCTCATCTCAGAAATATAGACAGAAAATATTAAGAAACAGGGAAAATTCGTTAGAAAAACAAGGAAAAAAATGCTGAACATTAACTTAATATCACCCTCCCGAATAACAGTGAATACTGGATAATATCATCACAGACGAAGAGAAAATTGCAGGCGTCAGAAACGTGGTTATACAGAATTCTATGGATGGCGCGCGTAAGCAAGGAAGACGCTATAAGCAAGAAGGGGACAAAAAGAACACATACTCAGAAACAGAAAGAAACAGGTGATAGGCTAGGATATACTGACACTCACAGGTCATATCAAGGGCAAGATGCACAGGGAAGGCAGGAGATGAGCTTATTTGAAGGCTCAATGCTCTCAAGAGATTGGAGGTTGTGGAGAATCAAGATTCCCCACGTCCCGAAGGACACGGCACGTAAAAGAAGGATAGAGAATCCATTAAAATCTTTTAAATGAATCCTACATAATTAAAAGAGATGTACGTGTAACGTAGTGGTTATCGGCGCTAAAAGAGATAATATCACTTTCAAATTCCAACTTAGCTCTTTTTTCGCTCAAATACATTTGGAAAAGGCATTAATTACAATGTCAGAGTTCAAAAGCGTTGGGGAGCTCTTGTAGGTGATAAATTGTTTTCCATTCCACAACCCCTTTTCCACAGACGAAACACTGCTAACCTCCCACTTCCCTACACCTACTTTCATGTCACATGTTCGAGAAAACTACGTTCAATGGTTCCACCAGTCCAGATCTTCACAGCTAGGCCTTGCCATGCCATATACACCGTATCGACGCATCGTCATTCCCTACATATTTCATTAGTAAGAAGGAAGTTCCACTTTGACAGCTTCTTCCCTAGAACTGTTGCATTGTGAAACGGCCCAGAGTATTCCTCTATGATTACACTCGTAATCCCTTCAAGTCTAGGATTAACCGTTATCTATGTTACATACGCTCATAATATACCAGGTCCAATTGTTAGATTAAGTTTTGAACTTAGAAATGATTAAAGACATTTTACTGGAATTCTCCGAGGTTTTTATAACACTGTTGAACTCTACTTTGAATAATAAGAATATATTTATCTCTAAGTTGAAACGATGATCCCTCTTGCTGTTGTGACCTCCTGATCCAGTTTTCCTCTCTACTGTTCACTATTTTTTTAAAACTTATTCACCGTTCTCTTGATGGTTCTATAATGGACTTTGAAATGGAAGCCAGAGTATGAGTCTTGGTACCATTACTGAAGGCCTGAACGATCTATTTTTTGTCTCCCCATTGCACAGTTGGGAAGACATAATGGGGCTGTCACAAAACGATTTTAACTTGTCCTCTTCTTAGTTGAATATCTCAAAGGTTTTTTTTTTTAGTAATTCTTACAGCAAATAGTGTCAGGATGGCTAAACATCTTATCTGAAAACCTGGGAAAAATAAACTTAATTAGTTAAGTGCTTTTTTTAAATATTAAACATTTTGTAGGGAGAAAAATTGTCGCATGCTGTTACATGATTTGGACAATTTTGCTGTTACAACTGGTACACATATTGCCTCTTCGTTATACGCCCTTAGAGCAAAATCATTTAGTAACCTCCTACCTTCAGTGACTTTGTATTGGGTGAACAACAATAAAAAAAAATATCCCAGATATCAGCTGATAGGTCAAACTGGGTCCTTTAGTTTTGGTTAACGACTAATCTGAGACAGACAACTATGAATTAAAAACAGTTTGGGTGTGGGTCTAGCAACTCCACCTTGAAAAAAAAAAAACAAATATTTACCACGGAAACATTACAAACAACATTTAGCTGTGACCGTACCATGATAATATGGAACGTTCTTACAATGTTAGAGACACGTTGTATTTTGTTTGGGGGATATGTGACATCGTGAGGACGTTATTGTAACATTACAATCAATTATTTTCCTGAACACAAACTGACCGCTCCCGCCTAAGCTTCAAACAACATTACTGTAACGTGGTAATGTGACGTAGTAGAAAAAAAAAATCAGTGCAGAATTTTTCAGCTACAGGACTTGAGAGTACCAGGTGTTGTGAGCTTAGATATACTTGGGGGTGGGTGATTGATATCTACTCGGAATAAGAAATCGGAGAGCAGAGTTCGAATTCCAGTCGAGTTCGTTACATCCTCTTACGCGAAAATGCTCTTGATGAAGTTATGACTCCATCTCTATTGGTTAAATATCTGGTCAGACATCCAATCAACCCCAGAAAGTAACGGCACCCTACGGAAGTAATTTTTCTGTCAGATCAACCATGAATCGAAAGAAATATATCCATTATAATTTTTTATTTTTACTTTTAGTTCTTTAAGACAGACTACGTGGCTGTTAGGAAAAGGATGAGTCCAAAGTGCGAATTGTAAATCGGAGGTACCAAAATCAAACAAGTACGGAAATTTAAATATCTGGGAAGTGTTTTAACAGAAGTCGAAAAGAGTAACACCGAAATCCGAAGGCGTATTGGGATAGCCAAAGACGCATTCCAAAATTTAAGCAGAATACTAAGAAATATTAGGTTGGTGCAAAATAATGACGTAATAATGTCGTTTTTTGACGTATTTTTTAACGTCAAAGAACGACATTATTACGTCATTATTTTTGCACCAACCTAATAATAATCTTCGCCAGAAACAAGCAAAAAAGTACTGAACTCTTACCTGATATCTGTCCTCCTGTGTGGCAGTCAGTGCTGGACAATCTCCTCAGAGATTTGAAGTACAGACTTGAAGAATTAGGAATCTGATTCTACAGAAGGATGCTAAAGATACCATGGAACGAGGTTGTGAAACACAAAAAGAAGACTCATAACATTAGGAAGAGACGGTTGAGTTTTCTAGAGAACATAATGAGGAAGGAGGGATTGGAAAATCTGATACTCACAGGACAGATTGAAGGCAAGAGATTCAGAGGAAATTGAGTAAATAGATGGCGGAACAGGGTTTAGGAGAAATAACAGAAAGACAAAATTTATTAACAGTTACAAGGTAGAGAGGAAATTGTGGAGAGCCATGATCGCTTACGCCCTAAGAAGACACAACACATAAGGAACCCTGCTACTTTCAAAAATTCAGTTCTGGCAACAGAATTAGCAATTGTCATTGTGATGTGGAAAGATGTCAAAGTTTTAGAAATTTGGAATCTTTTTTTTATTGATGGTTTTGTAATCTTTAAAACGTTGCTTCAGACTACATACCACCAACAGAAGTGATCTATATGCATAAAACTGCATACATAAAATTCATATCAATATTTTATGTCGTCTGGCAAATCTTTATCTTTTTCTGTTATGTATCATGATTTTTTTCTTTATTCATATTTTCATACTTTGTTTTTCTGAATTATATTTTTTAGTCATAATAAATCTATTTGCTTTTTTCTCCTCTTCGTTCTCATTATCTAGCCTTTTGCCTGTTTCGTTCGATTAGTTTATACGTTGCCAACATCACTTAGTCTTGTCTTTCAGTTTTCTGCCTTTTCTTTCAGTTTTGTTTTTTCTTCTCAACGACCTGCTACCGTCATTTATTTTCCTAGCTTTTCATTTTTTGTCTTCGTCTGTTTCTTTCAAACTCTTTTCATCTTAGTCTTCGTCTGTTTCTTTCAAACTCTTTTCATCTTAGTCTTCGTCTGTTTCTTTCAAACTCTTTTCATCTTAGTGAGAGTGAATCTCCATCTTTCTTCTTTCGTTGTCGCTCTTTTTTTAAATAAAATGTCTTCACCATTTTCTCTGAGCGGCTTTCTCTTCATTTTTTTTTATTAATATCGTCTTCCCTTCTTGTCGTTTTTAAAATCCCTCTTCTTTTCCTATTCCTTGATATTTATTTATTTATTTTAGTTTCTCTTTTATTCTTTCTCTTTGTCAATGAAAGGTTCTTTGTTATTTTCTTTCTCACCCCAATTCTGTTATCTTTGCGCACTTGTCCAGTTCCTTCACTTTTAACACAAACATGGCTTCTCTAAGCGCCGTTCCCATTATACAAACACATAAGCTAAAAGCCACCGCGATAAAATATTATCTTTGTATTAGCAACGGAGATGATTTTAGGGTGGGGCCTACTTAAAGGAAAAATTGAATATAAAAAGAGAAGAAGAAAGAAGATGAAATATGGATTTCATGAAAGGGAAAGAATAGGAAATATAATCGAGAAATGTGATAAAATAGCCATAAAAAGAGACAAACTTTGAGCAAAACGTATAGAAAGATAAAGGGAGGAAGAAGAAAAGCAAAAATAAAACAGAGGGAGAGATTCTATTGAGAAAGAATATGTAAGTGTCAACAAGCTGTGATGAAATACAGGAAAGGGTTGGAATAAAAAAAATAGCATTTAAAAATATATAGAGGAGGGAAATAAAAATGGAGAGTCGGGAAGAGATTCCGTTGAGAAGCATGGTAGTAACAAGAAGAAAAGTGAGAAAGTATATTTAGGAAAGAGCTAGACACAAAAAAGAATAAGTAAATAAATTAATAAGAAAGAGAGCGAATACGAAACGGTATCTAAAGACACATTATAAAAAAAAAGAACACTGACATTCACAGAGCATACTGAAGGCAAGAATTACTCGAGGAAACAATGAGTAACCTACGAGAAGAAGGAAATGTCTTTTTTTTTTAAAGTGAATAAATAACGAAGAATAAAAGGACTAGGAGGAGATATTGAAAGAGAAGAAGGAAAGCAAGGACAAGTAGAATGAAGAAAATAAAAGACAGAACAAAGATAAAGAGAATCTGAGATAAGAAAGAAAAAATATGATAAAGAGATTTGGAGAGAAATGGCTTGATAAAAAAAAGAAAAAAAAAAGAGATTAACATTAAGAATGTTTAAGAAAACGAAAGATAAGAAAAGAGTTACGAATGACAGAGAAAACAAAGTTTACAGTCGAAAAGATTCGGTTGAAAGTCGATATCGTAAGGCGAAGGAGAATAGAGAGATAGGGTGGATATAAAATGATGGTATTAGTAATGGCGACGGGCTACAAGCGTGAAATAATCGAAGGGGAAGCAAAGAAAGAAGAGAATGAACAAATCAGGAAATTTCCGGATAATTGAATCCTTGGCGAGTAGTAAAAACAAACTTCAAATTCGATTCAGCTTTTGCCTCAATATTTGTGCCTATCGTGTTTCTCTAAAAAAAAAAGCAGTACCCGGAAGAAAACGTTCTTTAGAAGAAAATGAAAAAAAATATATATATAGAAAAGAGGGCTGCTTTCAATTGAATAATCGTCATTGACGCTTACATATTCTGGATATGCTTGACTGAATTATCTCCCTTTAGTTTTTCTGACTTGTCAGCGTTTCTTTACGATTTACGATGATTTTCTCATTCAATTTCTTACATGCTCAACATCCCAGAAGAAACTAAAGTAGAACATCTCATAAACATTTGATGACAGTGACAAACTGGCACCCGCGAAATAGTTTCATAGATGTTATGAACACTGATTTGCTGCAGGGTTGATTTTAAAATGAAATCCACCAACTGAGGCTGCGGGTACATTTACTGACGTCATCATGTTATCTCTAATATTTATTATGTAATTAATGGAAACTGACGTAAACTGAATCCATGGGATAATTTTTTTATTGGGTGGAGTGCTCTTTGGAGGCAAGGTCTCATCGTCTTACAGTCGAAATAGCTAGATGTAACGGTAATTTCTATGCTAACTCTTTCGTCTGTCACACGTCTGGTTTGTGTAATTGTCTTTCGGCTTCGCGATTCCCAGACAACTTACAACTGCAAAACTCTAAGTACAATGTTAATTGTTATCTTCTGTTTTCTTAATTCCTGTTATTTTAATGTAGTCTCTCCTTAATACTGTTTTTTCTCATATTCTCCGACAATCTGTAATCACTTGTTTCTTAGTGGCTTTATCACCTTGCTTGGGGTGCAATGATTAAAAAAAATATTTGCAGAAAGACACGATTTTATTTTACAAGAACAGCATTTATATTAGAGTGACAAAAGGTGACTCGCATTAAACCGAATAACGCTTGGTTTTACATTAACTGTATAGAAATTGGTAATTGTGCTAAGAAAATTATTTTCATATTTGAGGAGAAAAAGATGCAAATAATTATCACTGTTCACCGTCAGGTTTCATGGTTGCGCGGCATGACACTGATAATATTTAACAGCCCCCGCCACGAGGGATGTATGTGGCACAAGGCCGAGTTTACCGTGGGTTCTCCGAACCCGTAGGCTCGGCCAAAAATATTCTTTTAGAACCCGTATAAACGGGTTCAGGGTCTTTCTACCTCCCCGGAAGAAACTTTGCCCTTCGGCAAAGCCTCGTCTGGGTTCCTCTCTGCTCAAGGCAGAGAGTTCGACAGTAACGAACAGGCTATAGCACTATTCCGCGGCATGACACTGATTACTGTGGACCAGAGAGCTGCCTTTCTAAGCGCCACCAAAGAGTTAGGACCCCTTTCTACTAATCGGAATGCGTCAATCAGAAATCTGCCAACTCTGTACACTGAAACTGAAAGGCTGCAGTCACTTATCAGTTAGTTCACCAAAAAGCAAGACAGTTGAAATCATTAAAGTGGGTGGAAGAAAGGAAATGGAAAACCACGCATAAACAAGAAACAAGGTTAAAGAGATTAAATTAAAGATTAATTAATTATTAATTAAATTAAAGATTAAGGAAAATATATTTTAATTAATTTCAAATCAATTTTTATTTTTTATGTATTTATATTTTATTTCAAGGTTTACATATATAGTGATTTTTTTACAGTGGTCCTCATCTTGTTCCTTCGAGGTAAATGATTACAGAGTAAGAGGTAGAATTTATGCAGATATGCGCGGAAGATAAAGGTTAAGCCTAGACTTGAACATATTTAGATTGTAGTGATCGGGGAAGCAGACTCTTGGGAGTAAGTTCTATCAGACAGCAGTTTATGGGAAGAAGTCGCTTAAGTGGAAATTACGTCTCATCAAGGGATATGAAGGGAATGTGGGTAGTTCGCCACAATGGGCGTGGCATGGCGAATATTCACCGTGAAGCTTAAGACTGGTGGACATAAGGAGTTTAGTTAAAATGAACATTCACTATTGAAAAAAAAAACGACGTGCGAGGCTTGCGACGTCTCGTCTGTGAGAAAAAGGGGTTGCACAATGGAAAATAATTCATCGCCCACAGGGACGCGAAGACGCTTTTGAACTCTATCGAGAGAGAAAAGTAAAGATTAGGAAGCTCCTGTTCATATATGGTAGCAGTACTCCATTCTCATTTTAGTACCAATTTAGTAAGAACATGAGATAAACTAAAGTAGGTCAGTTACACGCATTTTTACTTTTATTAAAATGATGATTTGCAGGTCAAAATTGTGATCACGGAGTTTTCGGTGGCACACAAGCGCACTAATTATGTCATTTCATTTTAATTTTCCTTTATATTTCTTCATATGTTTCTTTAAATCTCGAGATGTTTCACTGATGTATTTTGTCGGTTTATATACTCTTTACAGTGTTTCTAATGATTTTTTTATGTTTCTTAATACAATGTTTAGCTTTTAGAAGGCATACTATTACGTAATGACAGCCCTCCTATATAACAGGGAATGTTGGACAATCTCTTCACAGAAGAAGAAAAGACTTGAAGCAAGAGCAATTTGGTTCTTCAGAAGGATACTGAGAATACCATGGACCAAACATAAGCAACGACGAAATAGTAGAGAAAATGGAAACAAAAAGACACTTCTACTTAACATCAAGAAGCAACAGTTGACACTTCTAGAGTATATATTTTTGTTGCGTTCTCATTACCATTAACCCATTATATATATATATATATATATATATATATATATATATATATATATATAATCAATTCCTATATATATATATATATATATATATATATATATATATATATTAGTTTTTACAATCTACATTCAACATCATCATCTTGATAAAACACCAAATGTTTTGAAACAAAATGGCTATTTTTGTAATGATTTTATAACATATTTATGTTATAATTTTTAAATATAATATATATATATATATATATATATATATATATATATATATATATATATATATATATATATATTGAATAAAAGACAGACCACGTTAAGATTCCATGTAATAAGCTATTTCACCATAACCCCTTTAACAGGGTTCTGGATCATCAGACTTTACTTCCAAAAGCTGAAATGAAAAATGAAAAGAAATTCACACGTTTTTTACGGACCTCCCCTTAGCCATCTATATCTAGAGACGAGACGCGTTAAATTTGAGCAACATCTATCCGACACACTGGGGTTAAAAATAGGAAACTGAAATGATACATATAACACACTCATATCCTCTCTCCCACCTCACTTCCTCACTTCGTTAACTTTGCATATACTTGATGAGGTCCGTAAAAATCGTGTGAATTTCTTTTCATTTTCCATTTCAGCTTTTGGAAGTAAAGTCTGATGATCCAGAACCCTGTTAAAGGGGTTATGGTGAAATAGCTTATTACATGGAATCTTAACGTGGTCTGTTTTTTATTCAAACATATCTGCTCTGAATTTTACATTGAGCTCTCTGGATATCATCCTCCTCGTGTCTACCCATACGGATTACCTAAGTTTGCATAAACTATATATATATATATATATATATATATATATATATATATATATATATATATATATATATATATATATTGGACGGAAAAAAGTAACATACATAACAATACAGGAATATTTAGGCATATCGTCTCCGTTTTTTTTCTTTGAATAATTTTGTAAGTTTCTAAACATGATGCATGCTCATTTTTAGAGTTTCATATGCATAACTTTTATTTCTTAATTACATAATAAATTGGAGATTAATCAGTTATCCTGATTTCCTGTATAATCTAATATTAATTTTAAAGCATTAATAAATTGTATCTAGAGCCCGTTGTCGTGTTATTTGAATTTTGATAATTATATTGAGGCATCATATTTTTATTTAAATAATTATAACATATATATATGTGTGTGTGTGTGCGTGCATACTAAACATATATAAACTTCAAGAATTTTTATTTGATGTGTTATATTTATTTTATATAATAATAGTTTCTAGTGTTTTATTCTTGCACTGGGTGCTTCTCATCTTGCATAAGTGTGCTGTATAGTTTTTTGATATTATCCTTTACTATTTGTCTTATATTGATAGTTTTATTTTGAGTATTCGTGAAATGATGATGCTGATTCATATATGTTTGAATTGCACAGAGTTTCGAGAGGGTCAATAACTCAGTCTACATTTGAATTTGCAGCCAATGGATCTGCAGTTACAAATCTTCGCTTCTGCTTCAAACCATGTTAGGAAGCCAAATTTAGCGAATTCAAAACTCTAAAACCTTTACATCAATTTGAAGCTGAATCGTGGTCATTAAAGCAAATAAATTTCGATCTTTATTTTAGCCTAAAATTTGACGTAGATTTGTCCAATGATAAAAGCATAATTCATTCATGATTCGAGACTAAATAACCAATTGCCATCAGGTTATTTTTACTAGGATTCATGAGTTTGTGTCCCTTCCTGGAGTATTTGGCTGCAAATAAAGCTGAAAGAACGAACCAAATACAATGATTTATCTGTATGCATACTTCTGAGAGAGAGAAGAGAAAAGAAGTGAAAATGCTGTCAAGTGAATGTAAATAAGGCACAAATCTGGAACTGGAATGCTTCAATGTGTATTCTGCCGATAAAAATATTGTCATATATGAAGAAAATGGCTGACCTACCGACACCGAGGTTCGAGCGTGACACACTGGACTTATTTTCGCAGTGAGTATAAATAGTGGTGTCAGGCTATTGAATGCAATAATTATTGAGTGACTATTGAGCTGAACTATCCAGTCGAATGTGTTTGAATTATTGTGCGTCGATGATATGGGTTTTGATTTAGGATTTATCGGACATTAATCCGAGCCGTGCTACTAACAAGGTATTCACTGAAATGGTTAAATATCTTTAGTTGACTTTTACATCTTTGTTCTTAAGTATTTATTTGCGGTTTTAATTAAATACTGTTTTATCTTAACATTGAAGTCTTGAATGATACTTAACCATTAACCACCACCGTACGTCACAAAAAATATTAAATTTAGGAATCTAAAATTTCCTTTATTTCCATTTTTCTCCTTTATTTTCGTAATTTAAACGTATTAAAATATTTTTTCATATAATTGTAGAGAAAATAAATATAAAATGTATCGTTTAGAAATAAGTTTACCCGATTAGTGTGCAAGTTCATCCAACCTTTTCTCGTTGCTTAAGGGATAATACAAACAATTCAAAAGTAAAAAGTACAAATCATTATAATTTACTATAATATAATTTTGATTAAAATATATCGTCCTACTTTTCACACTATTAGAAAAAATCATTAAAAATAGATAAACGGGGAAAATTTATAATTAGCTGAGAAATAACATAATTGACATCGTCTCATAATTTATTTAGGCTAAAATAGAAGAACTTATTTCATAGAACAAATAAATAGA